CTGATCTAAGCTTTCGGCTTACATAAGCCATTATCAAAGATGACAATTACATTTCAATATATTAAACAATACATGGACAAAACAATAATGATAGTCTGTTTTTGTTGCATGAAAGATTTCAAAGCAATGACAAACTTATTTATATCATTTAATGAAACATGTATCAATGAAAAAATGCTGCCTAAATACACACAATATATATATAAAAACAAGGATCACAACATTCATCTAGAGGTTTGTGGGTTAATGTAATTTTAATAAAATTGTTTATTTATATCATTAACTTCACTAATCTGTTTTTTGTATGAATGATTCATGTAATATATATATATATATATATATATATATATATATATATATGATAAAATATAGTTTTAAGGTATGCTATATTTGTGGGTAAAATGCCCAATATCAGAGATAAAGCAAATGTAAATATAAAAGTGGACACTGTCATTTGATATTAACCTCAGTGTCCACTTTGTTTTATACTTTAACACAATTTCAGGCAATCACAAGACTGTCATTGCTTGTTGTTGATCTCAGTGTCCACTTATATTTTTTATACATATAAAAGTAGACACTGAGTTTAACAATTATATTATATATATATATATATATATATATATATATATATATATATATATACTACAGTTCAAAAAAGGGAAGCCACCCCCCAGGATTAGCATCAGCTTGAGAGAAGAGGAAACTTTTCCATGTAAAAAAAATGAAAAATAGCTCTTAGTCATTGAAAAAAAATAATGGAATCAATTATCAAACTTATATGTTGAGAAACTTTTGCAACAAATGCAGTAACCAAGGCTAAAGGAAGATATTTTGACAAGAGCAAAATTTAATCATAAAATGCTTTTTTTCTTTTTCTCATAATAAAAATTGTAATAAAAAATCATGTCTAACTTTTTTAAACATGTATAATAATTTTCTCTTATTTAAAGTACAAAACAACTACTTTTAGGGCCAATTTAAAAAATTATCAGGGGTTTCCTCAACATTTTAGTGTCAATTTAAAAGTACAGACAGCAACACCAAGTCTGAATACTGAGGTCAAACATAAAACAGATCATCGATACGGTTCAGTCTGGAATTTGCTGAAGGTTAACTGGATTGACATACATCAGATGAGGGCCAGAGGATCCAATAACTGAAACATGGGGATAAAAACAATAAAGATGAGGACAATAGTTTGCATGTAATAGTATAAATAATGATAACTCCTTATCCCAGAGATTT